CTTCCTTGCTTATAATGCTTGTAAACTAAGAGAATATTGAGGCAATCCTCATAGGATACACATATTCTAATAAGAGACTGATCACTTACAGTCCTAAACATCAATGGGAAGGTCCAAGTAAGCAATACCAAGTGTATTTACTGTATGATTATTAGATTTTACAAAGGCGTTTTGTAATTTTGTACTTAAATACATTCAGTTGTTCCCATTTGTTTACTCGTTCAGTACAACATTCTAATAAATAAGTAACTATTCACGAACGATCTTTGTTTACAATACAAAAGAAACAATCAAATCATGAAAACCATCCTGAATCTAAGTTCGCTTAAGTAAAAAAAACACAACGAAAACTCAATTTTGTCCATTAGTTCATTGTTCTATTTATATTATTTATTTAAACACATAAACACTGATACAACGAGGCTTCAAATAGATATTCGGCACATAAATCATTCGGTTTGTGTGAGGGATATGATACAGACCAGATGCCCAAATCGAACAAGGTGATTTGCTTAGCAGGCCACACTCGCAGCCATCAACCTAGAAGTCTAATCCACAAGGCGCTGGAGCAACGTCAGGAGATGCAGTCACATGGTTGCCTATGACCAATAATTGGTTCATGCACTATTTGTTCCTTCCGGATTCTATAATCCATGTGTACGATTTGTGTGGAATCAGGGTCTTCCAACTCCGTTAGGTGGACTGTCTGTATTCACCATCCCGGTTAATGCACCAAACATTCGTTTTTCTTCCTCTCAATTTCTTAAACAACACCGTCAATGAGAGAAAGGTAGCGAATCGGTCATCTGTGGGTATGGTTGTATTGACGTGGCTATGTGAGAGCATTATGAGAAGGATATTTACTTATACTGCGATTCTTATTAAATGGTTTCACATATTTGCTTCCGTATATAATTCCATTGAATCATGAAAACATCATATCGATAGTGGTCATTCCAGTTAACATACATGCATAGAGATAAGTCCATCTATCGAATGTTATCACATAATAATAACAACTCGCATAGTATGTATATAACGTTGTGGTGAGACTATAATTTATGGATGAACCAGTCATATTTAAGATAACACGTCTTAGATTTTAGCACGAAATTCATTCAACCATTTGGTTAAATAGACTCTTGGAATTATAACTTATTGTTAGTTGGTGATGAAAACCCTAAATCTAATTTCTAACCTTAACTCCATCAACTGTAAATCATAATCCTTATTCTTCAAACCCCTAGTTATTAAGTGGATACTCTCAAGATCAGTCTAACTTCGCTCAATGATCGTCTATAAACGATAATCTCACCAAAGTTGTTTCCTTGACATTTATTTAACTGATCATTTGTTTATTAGTAAAACTTAAAGTATCATGTTAAACAGACAATGATTACGTCACTCTATTGTTTATCAAAATAAAAACAATTCATTATATAAGTAATGATGGATAGTGGCTAGCAGTGGAAACCAGGATGCGCGTTTCGTTCTACTTGGGACTTGTCAGCTGGATGTATCTGCATCTCAGAGTTGATGTTCACTAGGGGACTCGAACCCAGTACCGTTCGCTTGTATCTTCCCATTAACGTTTAAGACTGCAATTGATTAATCTGTTATTGGCATTCATTATATTAAAAAGATCAATGTGAAAACGTGTGTAATATGTGTAATGTTACCTTATAAATCAGATTAAAATCATTTCTAATTACGTAATTATTAATAAGATTGAATCTTGACAATTCTGTCTTAAATATAAGCCCACAACCTTAAAAGACTTAGAAAATCACTCTGAGATCATAGACCCGATTATTACTTATTTACTTACTTTCACCTGTTAACCCTTGTGGAGGAGTATAGGCCACCGATCAGCATTCTTCATCCAACCCTATCCTGGGCAATCCTTTCCAGATCTTTTAAGTTCTCATTTATCCTTTTCATATCTGCTTCCAATTCCCGACGTAGTGTGTTCTTTAACCTTCTTCTCTTCTGTTTCCCTTCATGGTTCTGAGTTAGGGCTTGCCTCGTGATGCAGTTTGGTGATTTCCGTAATATATGTCCTATCCACTTCCAAAGTCTTTTCATAATTTCATCTTCAGATAGAAGCTTGTTTGTTTTTGATGGTATCCAGCCAATGGATGTTGAGTATCTTACAGAGAGGATTGTTTTTAAATACTTGCATTTTTTGATTATAGTTTTAGTAGTTCTTCACATTTCAGCTCCATACAGTAGGACTGTGTGTGACGTTTGTATTGAAGATTATAACTTGGATATTGGTTGACAGTTGTATTGAGTTGCGTATGTTCTTCAATTGTAGAAATGCGGCCCTATGCCTGTAGCTCAGAATTCAATGAGCTAAGTAATCGGATGCAGTTGTTATAAAGTGCCAACAAATAAATGATATCAGAATAAGTTCTGTGGATAATATAGTAATTTCAATAGTTGAATTCATGAGTCAATTGAAGTTAGACTACCATGTAAAACTTGAAAGCACTGGACAGTCGTTTCGTCCTACTGTGGGACTCCTTAATAGTGACTGATAGGTCCTCGGTTCGAATCTCGCAATAACGGTATCATGGATGCGCACTACTGAGGAGTCCCATACAAAGATGTAATGGCAGTTCAGTGCTTCCAAATTTTCCGTGGTGGTCTAGCTTCAACTGACTAATGATGTGAACTATTAAAAATAACTGATTGAAACAAAATCAGCCAGCTCTCAAACGAGTGATCTGAGCACCAGACCTTACATACCCTTTATTTTTCAAACCTGAAGAACTCATGTGTTGATATACATAAAATATCAAACCAAACGACACCATTAATGATAAATGTCACTTGGTATACGACTAGGAGATTCGTAATAGAAGGCTTGGTAACAATTTTAATGTGACCTAACTATAATTTATGAGTAGTACTATAACTTAATAAGCCCGTACATAATGTTACAGTTGCTTCACAAACACACTCAAGAAATATATAAACTGATCTCTATCAAAACAGTTTCTCTAATTGCATAACTTCACACTTTGATGCTTCTTATTACTTAGTGGCTTCAAATCATTTACGTTAGACAACTTTTACTGAAACATTCTCAAGCATACTTGATGAAACAGCTAGTTGATTTAGTTGTATGAGGACGGCTCATGGGTAAACTCAAGGAAGATCTAAGAAGCTCCAAAAGAACTGAAGGTATTCCATCCAATCATTTTTAAAAAGAATATTGCAGAATCTATACGTATAGCTTCCCTATGGGACAAATGCTACAACTCCCTGTATTCAGATTAGATTACTATAATGATTTCATTTTTACTAAAAACTATAAATACCTGGAAGTTTTGTACCATATTTTACATTGTTTCGGAATAGCACTTCTTTTACTTGTCGTCTATCTTCATATTTGCGACTTAGAGGGTTCTAGACTTCGAGCACTCAATTTGTACGCAGTTTAATAATAACTTAAGCACTAGATATAACAGGTTGTGAGAAACGTTAATTGTAGATTATCATCATTTTAAGACAGGGATTCTTGGATAAATTGATCATTTTAGTTCACAAGTCATTAGAAATATGAACGAATGATCTTATATCTGATAGAGTCGAAGATCTTCTACACTAATGTAGAATAAAATCACTTCTAATTACATAATTGGTACAACGAGGCTTCAAATAGATATTCGCCATATAAATCATTTGATTTGTGTGAGGGATATGATACTGATAGGGTGCCCAAATTGAAGAAGATAATTTGCTTAGGAGGCCACACGAAGAGCCTTAGACCTAAAAGTCTAATCCACAAGGTAGTGTAGTGGAGTAACGTCAAGAGATGCAGTCCCGTGGTAGGCAATGACCAATAATTCGTTCATACACTATTTGTTCCTTTAGAATTCCATAATCCACGTGTTCGATTTGTGTAGAATGAGGGTTTTCCAACTAACCTGGGTGGACTGTCTGTATCCACCATCCCGGTTAAAGGGATGAACATTCGTTTTTCGTCCTCTCGATTTGTTAAATAACTCCGTGGACGAGAGAAGGTAGTTAGTAGGACTTTATTGTCAGTGGCTTTATACACGTGATCATTTGTGAGCATTTTGAGATGAAGAGTTGACTCTCTCCACTCTCGATCGTACTAGGGCATTTAAGGGTCATTCTATTATGCTAACCCCCCCGTAACTGAAGTTTGCGCTGATGATGTCGTTCAGAAGAACGATAAAAGCTCTACGAACAAATCATCCAGCTTGGAGAACAAAATTCCATCAAAATCATTCACCTGAGCTACAAATCTTCTCCACCGTAGATGAATTATATTCAATGACTGTAATCTCTATTCATATGAAAAGTATAATAGTCTAATCAAAACTTCATTTGTTTAATATTTTGTTCTAACCTCGAATGCCTCATATGTGACCATAGAAGATAGTTTTAGTTAACGTCAGTCTATAATGATGCTACGTTTATATCAAACCATACATTAGACAGATTTACAAGATAATATTTAACTATATCAGTGGCTTTATTGTATTACATGAATTGATGTAGCAGCCATATATACAAATCGTTTTGTTTCGATGATTGGCATTGATTCTACTTTGAAGTTGTTGAAAAAAAATCTGTATGATGTTGTGGAGATTGGTAAGTTTTTTTTATTGAGAACATGAATCGATCGATGTTAGACCACCGTTAAAAACCTTGAAACCTTGAACGACTGTTTCGCCCTAGTATGGGACTCCTCAGCAGTGCGTATACACGATCGCTCACGCTGGATTCGAACTCACGACTACAAATTTCGTGCGCGAATGCTCAACATCTAGACCAATGAACCAGCTGGTATCCAACAGTATTCACGTCTAACTTTCATTGATCCATAAATCTTTAAATCAATCAATTCATGATCTCAATCGAAAGAAAATCTTTCCAGTTCAATTAATGAAACATTCCTTATTTTGTTATAAACGAAAAGGCACATTTAAAATTCTTTCATATTAATATTTATTTGATTACAGTTAAAGTTACAAGATGATGAATTTTGGAATCCTCGTTTATTAATTGATAATGCTGAAGGTGAACCAATTGAAATAGTTAGTCATGAAGTAGAATTTATAGAACCAGATTTTGAAGCATATCTTGTAGAGAAACGACGAATTAAAGGTATCTTTCATGAAACATTGGAATTAAGACATTTTCCATTTGATTGTCAGGTAATTTAATGAAAGAGTTTTGTCATTTTTCCTTTCTTCTTCTTCTTCTTCTTCTTCTTCTTCTTTGTCTTTTATAACATTTACTCATGTTAATAATATGGATTTATTAAAGTGTTTATAAATGTATAATGTTATACAATAATAGTATTGTGTAAATGTTCCATAGATGATAGAGTTGATTTGTAGCTTAAATGGATGCTTTTGATAGAGTTTTATTCTCTAATCTGGATGATTTGGTTGTGAAGCTTTTATTGTCATTGTGAAAGACATCATCAGCGTAAATGTCAGATAGAAGAACTTCTATCCATTTAGCTAAGAGTACAAAACTTCATCAAAATGTTTTATAATTTGATTCCATTTAATAATTGTTTATATATAGAAAATAATTGAATAAGAATCTATATTATCGACTTGCTTACTTGTTGACATACATTTGTTATTCCTTTAGAAGGAGCATAGGTCATCCAACAACACTCTTCATCGAATTACATCCTTGACAGTCTTTTCCAATTGGTTACAGTTGTCATTCATTCTTTTTTGTTCTTCGGTCTTCTTCTTTTAAAACTTGCCTCGTGATACAGTTTGATGATTTTCGCAATATGTGTTCTATTGACTTCCAACATCTTTTCCTGATTTCCACTTCAACTGGAATTTGATTTGTTCTCTCCCATAGTAGGCTATTGCTGATGGTATTGTTCATAACAACTTATACTTTCTTAATGATGGTTGTAGTAGTTCTCCACATTTCAGCTCTATACAATAGGACTGTGTTGACGTTCGTATTGAAGATTGCGACTTTGATATTGGTTGACAGTTGTTTTGAGTGAATTAGTTGATGATGATCTATTCGAAATCATGCTATTCACATCAAACACATTGGTTATGCTCAAAATGTACAGAATTATTAAACTGAATACATCTGAATACTTTAAGTATGACTGTCTAAATTATTCAGATATTTTTTTAGTATTATAACAAGTTCTGTACCTCTATATACAAAAACTATATTGTACTGGAAGTATTCATGTAACTTGAAAAAATATTCCGTTAATAAGTGTATATAGAAAAAGCAACGCAATTGATTGATTACTAGGTGGTGATCAATATCATGTGGATCAGGTCTTTCTTAGTGAAAGTTGAATGCTATCGACCAAGTTGCAATGTAGTCACTAGCCTAGGTGACTCGACATTGTGTGTACTGTGTTGAGGTAATCAATAGGAAACCCTGAACCTTGGTTTCGTGCTGCTTGGCACTCATCAGCATAGTATACCTGTAATCTTGAAGGGACTGATGCTCCCTGACGGATTCGATCCCGGATCAACCAGCTTCACAGTCAGAGACGTTACTACAGAGCTGTCTGGGCCATGACTGACCTTTTGTATGACTGAGATGTATTTACAATTGATTGATCACTGGGTGGTGATCAATACCATGTTCATCAAGTCCTTCTTAGTGCAGATCGATTCCTATCGTTCAAGCTGCAATGTATCCAGTAGTCTAGATGACTCGACATTACGTGAATTATGTTGAAATAAAAATGGTGTCATGTGTCAAAATAATTCATTTCAATTATCAAAATTCAGCAACATATCAGATTGTTTATCACAGTTATGCACTCAGTCATTCATCGTCCATTTACATCTATTCTATATTCCGCAACCTATGCTAACTGTAGACAGTCTTCTGTAGCTTCTCTTCTAGTCTCACAATTATTCTCAACTCGCAGTGTTTTTGGCTTTACGAGACTCCTGTCTTGGGCTACCGACTGTGGAAACTTCCATACGATCCTCAACTGACTACCACTTGTAAACAATCTTGTGAGCAGTGTCCATCACATTACTCATGGCTAGTAATTTTTTCTTACACAGGTGCGCGTAATTTTGGATACTAATAGTTTAAAATTTCCTACCTGTTCATTGTCTTAACTTAATACACTCTGAATATTTAGCTACCATAATATCATTAGACTATTTAGTCCATTTAGTTAAACGTTTAACTTCAGAAAAGGGTTTTGTGGATATTATAGTAATTTTATTCGTTGAATTCATGAGTCAATTAAAGCTAGACTACCATGAAAAACCTAGGAGCATTGGACGGTCGTCTCGTCCTAGCATGGGACTTCTCAGCAGTGCACATCCACGATCTCGCACCGCGAGATTCAAACCCAGCACCTATCGATCTCACACGTGAACATTTAACCTTTAGACCACTGGGCCAGCCGGTATCTAACAATGTTAATTTCTAACTTCAACCAATCCACGACACTGCGCGACCGTTTATCATTGTCTTTAGTTCGTTACTGTCTCACAACAGACACAGTTTGACTCCACTGGTCACAACTATTCACTAGAATTCCAGGAAACACATTTTGAAGAGTTCTGTAATGGGACGAAACGGCCATACAGTGCTTCCAGGTTTTCCATGGTAGTGTAGCTTTAATCATCCCATGAATTCAACCATTAAATTACTACTACTTCCACAAACCCTCATTACACTCGTTTAAAAACTCTTAATTCTGTGCTGATTTTTTTTCCTATACTAAATATAAGGATCTATCCGTTACAATCACATGTGATCGTACAACAGATGAAGTGGAATTAGTTGCTTCACCAACAGAAGTTAGTCAAGTTGATGTAAGATGTGCAGCTGACAGTCAAGAATGGAAAATATTTCATCATGTCGATGTAAGTTGATAATCTATTTATTTGTAATGTCGGTCATTATATAAATCCCATATATCTTATTCTATCTTTTGGACAGGCCAATCTATTCCTTCTATTTGAGTCATATTTTGACCTTGTTGATTATTCGTTTATCAATCTTGATTGTTTTTATAGGAGCGTATTTAGGTGTATACTTTTTATCCTATTCATCGCATATCTGTAGCTTATTTTTGTGTGACTATAAATATTGATGAACGCTTGATTAAATGGAGTTGGCTTACCCGCCATCACAACTGCGCGTCGTTTCACTTTCCTCTATTGCATTCTCGTTATTTGACTTATTTAATTCCGTTATTCACTCAACGCGATTTAAGTCGATGATTATATACGAGGATATGCGACATATACTTTACGACAATAAACATCCATACGATCTACTTGAATTCAGATCCCGAGCCACCAAAGTCAAGAGCCTGTCGACAAACATCGTCCGATCTAAATGACAACAAAATAAAAGGCCACCAAAAGTTGATAATCTATTCATTTGTTCAAATTTGAATTGTCTTCAATTGATAAATATTGAAAAAAATAAAGACAATTTACAACCCGTGTGGATGCTTTCATTGATAGAAGTTCATATAAACTAAACGGTAATAATATGGTCTAGAACAACACTTATGGTTACTTATTTAAGCTGTTTAGAATAAAGATTTGTGAAGATTTTAGTCATTTAAACTAGATCGTTATTGAAAACCTGAAACCACTAGACGGCCTTTTTGTTCTAGTAAAGGACTATTTAGTTTAGCAAAACACAAAATCAATTTTTGATGAGAAATCATTTTTTTAAATAAAGATGGATGGTAGCTAGTAGTAGAATCTAGGACGTGCGTTTCATCCTTTCTAGAACTCATCAGCTGAGTGTACCTGAATCTCAAAGTTAATGTTCACTCTGGAAGTCAAACCCAGTAGCATTCGCTTCCAATGCCATTGTGTTATCTACTTAGATACTGAGTCCTGATGGCTTATGCAATAAGGTAACGTCTAAATTCACTTGATATTGTTTGCTTGTATCTTCCTATTGATGTTTAGGACTACAAATGATCAGTCTGTTGTTGGCGATATCAAGGCAGTCCTCACAGGATGCACATATGCCAACAAGAGATTGATCAATTAGTAGTCCTAAACAATAAAATAGGAAGATATAAGGTAACAAAACCAAGTGAACTCAATAAAGAAAACATGCATCTTACACAAAATATCAAACTATATAAATATGATTACTTTTCGCATACGATAATAATAACAATGAAACAATGCTATCAATAATCTTATTCACTATTATCTATTTCATCACATTAGGGAATCCTTAGCACCTGTTATGTAATACTATGACAAACTTCTCTTTTGCATGCATTCAAATTGTAATCAATCCAAGTTTACTTTAGAAATGTCAGTTTCTAACAGTTCAGCTGATACAAACTAGATCCCTATCCAATCAATACTGTATATGACTAATACATTAAAGCAAAAAAGGATCTAGGACACGCCTTTCATCCTATTCGCTATTCTTTAATTGCGTATACATCCATACCAGAGCTGATTTCCACTAAGAGACTCGAACTAAGTACCGTTCGCTTCAAACGCTATCACACAAACAAGTGACTAATTGAACTCAATGGCAAAGTGAATAACTCGATAGGATTTAAAACGAATGGTACTAGATCCCAGTCTCAAGGTGATGCACTATTGGGCATGTTAGATCCTCAGAACTCACTTGGTAAATACCTTATTTTTGTAACTTTATTTTGAAAATTTTAATTTCTTGTTTTCGTGCCAAAAGCGCTCATTTCCACATTCGTTGTATCTTTTAGTATGCTATTTTGTAACGCTTCCGAAGGACGGTTTTGTGCTGTATATATACGTTTTATTTGTGCCTGTTGTCATTGCTTGTGCTTCTGGCTGCTTGCAGAATATAGTCCCCTGTTCGAACTTGAACTTCTTTCTCTAGTTAGCAGGGTTAAGACGCATCAGAATAGCTAGTTTATTACACTTTGGTCACAGAGTTTTTGTTCCGTTCTCAGACTGGGTGAACTCGTAATCACTTCAAACATAGCATGCATGTACATCCAGCTGACAAGTCCCAAGCAAAATAAAAGTGCTATCCTAGATTTTACTGTTAGCCATACCATTTATTTCGATCAACTTGTATCATAATGGCTATATCAAAGCAACTTGTAAAGGATACATATATACCAATCAAGATCAATCAAATCACGATCAAAAACATCAGTACCAAGATAATCCAGAACTCTATTAATTTTAATTAAATCTTCATATCTCGTTTAATCAAGTGATAGGACTCAAGACTATAATTCATGGACGAACCAATCAGATTTAAGATAACAGATCATAGATTTTAGCGCGAAATTCATTCATTCATTTGTCTAAATAATGTTTTTTGGAATTTCAGCTGATGTCAATTTATGATAAGTAGGTGAACATTCTCAAGATCATTATAGTATCCCATAGTATTATATCTTTGTATACTTTGAGTTTCTGTTATATGATACGTCTTCTATCTGGTCATATAGACAGCGACTATCCAACATTTCCCTATACTAAGAAAGGTTTTTACACTCTTGAAAGAAAACTGAAGACAGAACATTCAAAGGAGCTGTTATTACGAATGTTCATATATAAAAAAACAAATGTATTTTATAGAACATATGTGACTTTGAAGTCCTACAAGCTTATGGAGACATGCTCAATGCTTTAAAAATGCTCACTTGTTATATAATCAAGATGATGAAAGTATAATCATTTAGTTCTTAGGTTATTATTAGAAGTTTCTAAAGAACATTGATTAGTCGGAGCACTTTTGACACTGTTCCTGTATTCTGAAGAATTGTTTAAGTGATTATAAAAGGGCTAACAATATTATTACTGATAATTATTTCATCAAATGGATCATTTCAATCATCCGCATGGGATTGTGGAGATTATAAAGTTTTGGATTGAGATCACGAACCGATTGATGTTAGACCAGCATTGAAAACCTGGAAGCACTGGGCGAACATACTTAGACTTGTTACTCCCAGTGCAGCATAGGCAACTGAACATGATTCTCCAACCCAATCTGTCCTCTGCCCTCCCTTCTACTTCTATCCAATTGTTGTTCCTTCTTCTCATGTCTGTCTCCATTTTCCACCGTAATGTGTTCTTTGGTCTTCCTCTCCTCCATGTGAGAGCTTGTCTTGTGACGCAGTTGGGTGCTCTTCCCAATGTGTGTCATATCCACTTCCAGTGATTCTTCCTGATTTCTTCCTCCGCTGGGATCAGGTTTGTTCTCTCTCACAGTAGGTTGTTGCTAATAGTGTCTGTCAAACGGATCTGAGGTAATTTGTGTAGAGAACTGTCAACAAACCCTTTTATCTTCTGGATGAATGGTTTTGTACTTCTTCAAATATCCGCCTCATAAAGTAGAACTGTCTTGACATTCGTATTGAAAATCCTGACTTTGGTATTGTTAAACAACTGGTTTGAATCTTAAATGTTGTTCAGTTGTAGATATGCTGCTCTTGATTTGCCTGTCCACACCTTCACATCTGCATCAGATCCACCGTGTTCATCAATTATGCTGTCCAAATATGTAAAGGTGTTTATATCTTCTAACTCTTCTCCGTCAATTGTGATTGGATTGCCGCATGTTGTGTTGTATCAGAGAATCTTGCTTTTCCCTTTGTGTATGTTGAAACCTGCTACTGCTGAGGCTGCTACTACACTGGTCGTCTTCTCCCGCATTTATTATTGCGTGTGAGATAGAAGAACCAGATCATCTGTGAAGTGCAGCTCGTCCAACTGCATCCTAGCTGTCTACGTATCCCATGCTTCCTCCCAGATGTCGACGTCTTCATGATCCAGTCGATCACCAGGAGAAAGAGAAAGGATGAGAGCAAGCAACCCTGTCTGACACCGGTCTTTACTTCGAACGAGTCCTTCAGTTATCCACTGAATGGACGTATCGCTCCATCACAGGACTCCTCAACAGTATTTATCCACGATCCCACTCTCTGGATTCAGTCTCACACGCGAACGCTTAACTTTTAGACCACTAAGTCGGTCGACATCAAACAGTGTACATGTCTAACTTCAACCAATCCACGAAATCGTGCAACGACCTTTCATTGTACTAAGATAAATTATACCTGTCTCTAACCGACACGGATTGTATTACGTAATCTATATAAAATCAATTCAGTCTCTCATGTAATATATTGTATGTGTTTTTTTTATTTCTTCTTTAGATTAAATCAATAGAAATTCAAACAGGTTATAGTCCTGGTACAAGTAAACGTCGTCATCCTGGTTTAGTATTTACAAGTCGTTCAGCACGTCGTTCTGGTTATTTTCTAGTGAATATGATATTAATTAGTTGTGTATTATGTTTATTATCATTTGCTGCATTCTCTGTACCAGCTAATGAAAATCGTTTACAATTATCATTATTATTATTATTAACTACAGTGACATTTAAATTTGCTGCATCACAAAATCTTCCAAAAATTTCATATTTAACATATTTGGTAAGTAGAATTATATTGAGAATTATTGCTAAAACAAAACTGAGATAGATAAAGGATTATAGATGTTGACTCAATGATTTAATGGGTAAGTGTTCGTGTACAAGATTGAAGGTATTGGGCCCGAATCCTGAGAGTGGAATTGTAGGTGTACATTACTGAGGATTCTCATAGTAAGACGAAATGGCCAGCCAGTGATTTCAGGTTTTCAATAGTGGTCTAGTATCAATCGATTCATGATCTTAATGAAAAAGATTATATATTCGTTTCATGTTGATTAATGAAGCATTCCAATGGTTAAGATCATGAGTCAGTTGAAGCTAGACCACCATGGGAAACCTGGAAGCTCTGGGCGGCTGTTTCGTCCTATTGTGGGATTCTTCATCAGTGCTCATCCACGACCTCGCCCCCTGCGAGACCCGAACCCAGGACCTACTGGCTTCGCGCCCGAGCACCTAACCACTAGACCACTGACCTGGCATCCAACGGTGTTAATGTCTAACTTCAACTAATCCACGAAGCATTCACTTGAAAGTTTTAATTAGTTTTGTTTACAACTTTTAACTCTAGTTGCTAGTTACTGTATGGTTAGAATCAAGTGACTTAAAGTTTAAAAATAACTATAATGTGACTACAATCGAACTATTATAATTATTATTATTAGAACGCAAAGAGAAACTAAATATATATGCGCCACACAAGTCACTTGATTTATGTGTGGGCTGTTATGCTGGCCGGGTGCCCAAATCAAAGAAGGTGGTTTACTTTTAAGGCCAATTCCGGAGACTTCAATCTTAATGTCTGATCCACAAGGCAGTGTAGTGGAGGAACGTCCGGAGATGCAGTCCCATGGTTGCCGGTGATCAATAATTGGTTCATACATAATTTGTTAACTCAGGATCCTGGAGCTTATGTGCACCATTGGTTGGGAATCAGAGTTTTCCAACTCCCTTGGGTGGACTCTCCGTTTTCCCCAACCCGGTTGAAGCGCCAGCATTTGCTTTTCGTCCTCTGAATATCCTAAATGCACCCCGTCCTTGAGAAGGCAGTGAGTAGGACCTTTGTGTGAGTGGCTGTATACGCACGGCTATGAGAGCATTTCGAGAGCGCTAGGCGAATCTCCCCACCCCCGGTTGTACCGGACCATTAGAGGGCTTACAGTCGAATACTGTTCTGATAATCATGACTTTTGTAGAGATTTCTGCCCAAGTGTCACTGAGCAACAGAGAACACTAAACACTTGAGTTCAGCCGGGTCTGCTGTCGCTCAATTTCGTAGATTGATTGACGTTAAACACTTACACCGTTGGATGCCGGCTAGCTCAGTGGTCTAAAAGTTAAGCCCTGACACATGAGACCAGGGTTCAAATCTCACAAGGCGGGATCGTGGATACGCACTGTTGATGAGTCTCGTAATAGAATGAAATGGTAGTCCAATGCTTTCAGGTTTTCCATGATGGTCTAGCTTTAACTAACTCATCAATTCAACTATAAAATCTAATGTTTATTCAATTATTTCCTTGATCTTTGTATAGATAAATAAATATTCAGTCCAACACTTGCTACATTCTTATACAAATAACAGACCGTCCCATTGATAATAATGATAAGGTGTATTTGTGTATATACGTACGTACATATGCATGTATATATGAAGATACATTAAATAAACAGAGATAAACTAAAAGAGATAAAGCTTCATCTTTCCTTTATAGAGTATTTAACTTAACTGTATAATATCAGATGGGTTTTGTGGAGATTGTAGTATTTTCAATGGTTAAGATCATAAGTCAGTTGAAGCTAGACCACCATGGAAAACATGGAAGCACTGGACGGCCGTTTCATCCATTTGAAATTCACCTATTCTGTCGTGAAGTATAACTTAACAATGAGCATTACAATACGAATAACTAGTCAGCAAATGAAATTCCCCTTTAGTGGATATTCAGGACTTCTTCATTATATATAGTCTACTTTAGTGAATACCTCAATATTACTTTATTTTACAAGAGTTGTTTGTTGTTACATTCATCTTAATGTTGATATTCACTTTGAGACTCATTTCAAATGAAAACAACTTATGAATTAAGAGTGTGGATCTTGATAAAGATCCATATATTCAACACATTATATCAACTATCAATAAATGTTGACAAATCTAAATAAATAAACTGGATAAAATATAAATTCTGGAGTACACTTTTTCGTAGACTAGTGATGAATTATAACGTTAATGAGATTTCATTTCAGTGTTCTATATTTTCCGAATTGATTAGTTACTTGTTGATCTGTTAGGAATACAAAGATCAATGAATTAGTAGAGTATAAACCTTGTTTTATAGTTGAATTCATGTATCTATTAAAGTTAGACCACCATAGAAAACCAGGAAGCACTGAATGAACATTTCGTCCCAGTATGGGACTCCTCAGATGTGAGCACCCACGATCCCGCACATGGAACTCAAACTTAGGACCTTCGGTCTGGCGCGCGAATGCCTGACCTTTAGACTAATGAGCTGGTCGGGATCCAACGGTATTAATGTCTAACTTCAACTAATTCACGATATTGCGTGACCGTTCATGATTGAATTCATTGAGTTATTATCTCACTGCTGAGGAGTGCCATAGTAAGACGAAATGGTCATCCAGTGCTTCCAGGATTTTCATGGCGGTCTAGCTTTAATCGACTCATAAATTCAACTATTAAAAAACAACTACAATCTCCCACAGTAGGCTGTTCCTGATGGTATACACTTAACGGACATTGAATATCATACGTAGAAAATTATTGATAAATACTTGTACATTTTTGATGATGTTTGTAGTAGTTCTGCAAGTTTCAGTTTCATACAGTAGAAATGTCATGACATTCGTATTGAATATTGTGACATTGATGTTGGTTGACAGTTATTTTGAGTTAGATATGTTCTTCAACTGTGTGAATCTTGCCCTTGATTTGACAATCCTTGCCTTCATATTTGCATCAGATCCTTCTTGGTCGTCAATGATGCTGTCCGGGTACATGGAATTTTTCATCTACTCCATAGCTTCTCCATAAAGTGTGTTTGAGTTGGTGCTCTCTGTATTGTATTTGAGGATGTTTCTTTATCCTTTGAGATTACTTGATCACTTTCATATATATCTAGGTATCTTGAGAGATTGGATTTAACCGAAATTGAAACATTCCTTTTACTATAGACGCTTTCTAGGCATCTATCTACTAACCATCATTTATTCTGATAAAGCCACTGTATTGTATCGGTAAAGGAAAAACAAAGCACAATTAAATGTTCTAGGTATTATATAACCTACCGTGATTGACTTATTGGATCTACTTAGTGTATACTTGTATATCGGTATAAGACTGTTTAAAGTTGTATTTACTTATGTAGTTAATAAACACTGAAGTTTACCTCTTATACTTTTAATTCTTTCTGTTCAAGATCCATTAGCAAAGAATAAATGCTCCCTAACTTTATCATCCAGAATTTGTCAACAATAACATAGTTGATAACAGAAGAGGTTTTCTTGTGAGTATTATAGTAATTTCAATAGTTGAGAATATGAGTCAATTGAAGCTGTACCATCATGGAAAACCTGGAAGAACTGGACGACCGTTTCGTCTTACTGTGAGACAGCAACTCACTGAACACAATGGTAGATATGTCGCTTAATTGAAGTTAGACATTAACACTGTTGGATGCCTACCGGCTCAGTGGTCTAGATGTTAAGCGCTCGCGCGCAAGACCGATAGGTACTGAGTTCGAATTTCGCGAGGTGGGAACGTGGATGCGTACTGTTGAGGAATCGCACAGTAAGACGAAACAGCTGTTCAGTGTTCCCAGGTTTTCCATGGTGGTCTAACTTCAATTGACTCATGATCTCATCTACTAAAATAACATATTAATCTCTTTCTACATATTAGATTACATATTATAATATGCTACGACAGTACGCTACTCAACAAATGCAAAGTGATTAGATGTAATTATATAGAAATTTTATTGTCAATAGCCATCTTTAAAAGGAATTCTGTTATCTACTGACATCAGACCGAAAATGTTCACTTCAAAATATAAACGTTCTACGTTTGGATAGCAGAAGTATCGCAAAAGTGAACGATTGAGTATTTAGTTGACAAGATAAAGCAGTGATCAACATGCTTTTTGATCGTTCAGCTCATTTCAGAAAAGGTAGAAAATCATTTTCAAAATCAAATTTATTTCCATAACTACATAGAACTGTCTATTCTAAGCAACTCATTAGTTCTTGATACATGCCTTCTTACTTACGCATGTTACTCACAATGCAGCATATGCCACCGACTACCATTCTACAACCCACTCTGTCTTCTGTCATCCTTTCTAGTTCTATACAATTGTTGTTCATTATCCCTCCCATGTGTCTCCATTTCTCGACGTAATGTGTTCTTTGGTCTTCCTCTCCTCCTCTGGCCTTGACGATTTCATGTGAGGGCTTGTCTTATGATGCCCTTGAGTGTTTTCCTCAAGGTGTGTCCTATCCACTTCCGGTGCTTCTTCCTGATTTCTTCCTCCACTGGGATATGGTTTGTTCTCTCTCATAGTGGGTTGTTGCTGATAGTGTCTGGCCAACGGATCTGAAGTATTTTTCGTACTAAGAAACTCTTTACATCAAAGTTTTGTTTATGTATAGAAAATGTAGAGTATTTTTAGTATTTTAGATAGCCTTCGGTTTCCGGAAAACTCTGGAACCCTACTAAATGCAGTAGCAGTAAAGGTAATCATCCAATCAGAAACTCGACATGGGACTTTTCACATTCTATATTTTTTCCGCCAAATTTCTATTGAATGATAATTGGATAAGATGTTTCTCAGCGTTTTCAGAGCCTATTGTTGGCTATTTCTCGATAAGTTTTCTGGATCTCCCCAACAACATCAATCCTTTTAATCATTTCATATGATAATAAAATTAATTTTGAACATCCATATATCGGAATTTGGTATGTTTAATAAAAAAGATTATCAAAACTATCAGAGAATCACATAATAAATGATAGTTTTCAGTAAGAATGTACAATGAATATAACTCCAGCTAATAAATTTACAAATATATTTTACCCTACTATTAAACATTATAAGTAGTTCAAACTATGAAATAAAAGATTTAGATTGTGAGGTGCAATTAAAATACTGATCTAGTGTATTTTTTTAGTTGATTGAGATCATGAATCGATTGATTTTAGACCACCATCGTAAACTTGAAAGCACTGGACGACCGTTTCGTCCTAGTATGAAACTTCTCAGCAGTGCGTATCCACGATCCTGCACGTGAGATTCAAACCCACGACCTTGGATCACTCGTCTAGACGCTTAACCTCCAGAGCACTGGGATCTAACAGTGTCCCGTACTAGGACGAAACACCCATCCAGTGCTTTCAGCTATTCAATGATGGTCTAACATCAATTGATTCATGATCACATTCAAAAACTGAACAATCCCCACAGCTTCATACTGATGCATTTTTCTTAAAGAAACAAATCATCTATCTATTTTCATTTCAAATCTAAGTGATTAATTTAATATTCTACTCTTGTTTAAGCTTTATATTCTTTAATAATTTCGTTAAAATATTTAAAATTCTATGGTATATACATATACTACTTAATTCAATGAAATAATGATGAATAATGATTATCCATTTATTAATAATTATACATTTCCGGTATTGTTTAATATCAATAATGATTTAGTTTTTTTACCAAGAACTAAGTTCCTTCAATTTCTCATTCAACCTGCATAGTGACTTCGCTGCTTGAACTAAAAGGTTGATTAGATGAGACTTTCGATTAAAATTATTGTTACAATATCAAGGAGTAAACAGGCTATGAAACAATATTTTTTAAGCATAACATTTAAAATGACTTCTACGTCGTCCACAAATGCCCTGTTACGGTCGAGAGGCGAGAGAGTCAGCTCTCTCTCTTGAAATGCTCTCAGATGACCACATGCATACAATCACTCCCATGGATGTCGTACACACTGCCTTTTCGTAACGAGGATGTTGTTTACAAAATTAAGAGGATGGAATGCAAATCTCTGACTTTTTAATCCGGTTGGTGCACACGAAGGGTTCATTTAGAGGAATCGGAAAACCCTGATCCTGAGAGAACAAATGTCGTATGAACCAATTGTTGGTCACCGACTACCATAAGACTGCCTTTCCTAACTTTGCTACATTATGTTGTAGATTAAACCTCTAGATCAAAGGCTCGGACTGTGGTCCCTTAAGAAAGCCACATGCTTCGTTTTGGTAAACCGAGCAGCATCCCAGCCCTCACACAACTTGAATGATTTATGTAGCGCATACTCTTTTCTTAAGATAACGCATAACTAAATACGGATAAAAATTTACAATTTTGAAATGATATATAATATTTTGAGTTCAATATGTAGATTTTAGAGGTGTTATACTGTTTGAACTACATGGTTTAGTCATAATCCATTTACTGCCTCTCCAGACAACATCATCAGATCAGAATTTTTTCTAGGTAGTGAAAACGTCATGACTAAATTGTTCAATTCTGACAATCAAACAACTTATTTTTCAATGTTTAACAAGATCTCGTTTACACTGTTTTGGTCAAAAAGTCTTCATACGCGTTCTAGAATTGGTTGTATTAATTAGTCACTTAATGGTATTCAATTATTTAATCCTAAGTACTGGTTGAACCCTAACGATGAACTTACAATTCATTTACTAATCTTGAATCAATCACGTCAATACTGTAGATCTCACTTTCTCATGAGCATCAACTTACGCAAATCCCGGCACAGAAGCTTTCCACTGATGGTCTATAACTACATAACGCCTAGAATAGTACATTCAAACATTAAGTCATTTAGGCTAGTGATTGTTACAAATGTTCGTCTAATGAATCTTGTTGTAAATAATCGAGATTAAATCCCACTAGCGATGCCTAGTACAAGTGTGATTTGGAATACAAAGAGGAAATTCAACTTTCCATATACCTTGCTTAAATAATCCACCATCCTAGAACCCAGGTAAACGAAGTTCTTTCAGATGTCGCGAAGTATCTGATATATATTCTAAATTTGCGGGACAAATTGATCCCCCCTCATCACGTTTTATTAGAAAAATGATATTAGATCTCTCTATCTAATCTGTACACTTCCCTAAAGCATTGAAAGTTGAGTACATTGAGCGTTATTTGATTATATTTAACGACGTTTAGGGATCTTCAAATGATTCCGTGGTAATAACCTCAAATAGTGATTCTCTCCTGACATATTTATGGATTCACTATATTAATTGTAATCCTCCTATTCATACGATATCAAAAGAAACGATCTTCTTAGGACATTGTTTTCATTTTCAATCCACATAAGGTTCTATTATTTATGCATAAAAAAGTGAACTACTTGTAAGTAGCTCAATATTTTGAGTAAAAGTTTTTATATGGATTTTTTTTATTTCCTAGGATAAAGTTGTCCTGGTGAATTTTTTCATGCTTGTCATTCTCACTGTATGGCATGCTATAGCTCGTGCTGTATCTGCTTCAAAGCCGAAATTTTTAGAATATGAACATTATGTTATGTACAGTCTACTCAGTTGTTATTGTATTGGTTCTGTGTTATTTGGATTAACGGTTTATCTCGATGTAAGTGCATATTAATTAGCATACTTATACCATTGCTTCTGAAAAATAATAATAATAATAATAATAATAATAATAATAATGAGTGTACGGAATAGTTATTATTGTATAATCGAGTATATGATTGGTAATCTATTTAGCGCTACTAGGCTAAGCGAACAATTCCAGTGGTTATCTAACATGAAAGAGACATTTCCACTGCATTCTAATTGTTCTGCTGATAAACTAAGAAAAAAATTGAATCGACACACAGGATGTTAATTTATATCATGTCCATCAAAAACAAGTTCATAACCATTCAATTTCAGTTCTTCAATGTGAAATTACTTACACTATTCAACATCCATCTGTTTCTAAAGTGTACTTTAAAGGTAACTGTCAATCATGTTGTGTGAGTAATTTGTGTATTGAGTACAACAGAAGATGATCGTGTCATATTGTGATTTTACTGAAGTTAGACTTGGAAATGAATGAATGACAGTTCATTTCGCTAAAGGTTAATCATTCGAGTACTATACTAAAAGCCCTTGGTTCGATTTCCGCTGATGAATTCGTGAACAGTTATTGGTAAAGAGTCCAATTATAGGAAAAAATGGAAGTCCAATGTTTACAGGTCACCAATAGTTGTCTAGCATAGATCAGTTCATGACCTCAATAAAAGTGAACAAACTCTGCCACTCCACTGTCGGAATTATAACATTGTACGAAATACTTTAGAAAGAACATTCAACACATCACCATTAAGTTCTTCATTTATCAATCAACTAATAAGAATCTTAGGAAAGAAAACTACCCATCAATTTGTCCCATCACCATGAAGATTTTATGTATCAGGGATAGGGATTAATTTGTGTTTAAGAGTTTCCAACATTCACTTAATTGTCTAAATGTACCATTTTCATAAAATCTATCACATAACGCTTTAGAGATTGATCTATGATACAACATTACAAGTCAGTTACTTGAATTATTTCACTATTTTTATTAGTAGACTTATCACTGTAGACAGTAAATAAATTATCAATTAATTAATTAAATTCATGAATCAATTGAAGCTAGACCACCATAGGAAACGTGGATGCATTGGACGGCTGTTTCATCCTAGTATGGGACTCCTTAGTAGTGCGCATCCCCTAATTCACCGCACGAGATTCGAACCCAAAACCTAAAACTCAAGACCGTTCAGTGCTTTCAGGTTTTTCATGGTGGTCTAGCTTCAATTGACTCATGATCGCATTTGTCTAATAGGGAAGCACCACATTGAGTTACTGGAATGTTCCTTGAAAAAGATGATTGGATGGAATATCTTCTGAACTTCTTAAAGCTTCCTCGAGATCACTTGTGGATCATCCTCACACATAACATGTTCAATGAAATACGTAATATATATATAATTTATAAATGAATCATAAAAACCATTTAATCATCAATGTACTCACTTTCTGTGTCATTAAGAAGTTATAACCAATTCATGTTACATCGTGATTTCAGTGGTACAAGTTGATTAAATTCCTTTATATATGATCATACGGTTTTCCTTTACTTATTTAATATCACTAGAGGTGGAAGAGGGAGCGGGGTGATAATAATATTTCATTATTTCCGTTAGTATATTTCAAAGAATATTATGGTATATGCTACTGATATCGACAGATATAAGTAGTATGTATGATCAATCGAAAGTGAATATCTGAACGCAGAAGGTTAATAAGATCGAGGGAAAGAGAATGACTAGTGTAGAAACGAAAGAACAATGAAGTCTGAGATGATTGATTGACATTTTGCAAATAATGTATTCACCGTAGGTTTCTCAGATTTTACTAAGCGATTCTGTATTTTTGTATTCAAGTACATTTGATTGTCTCCAGTTTTGTTCTCGTTCACTAAATTTGATGTTGCCGCCAACCAGGAGATCGGAAGAGTTCTATTCTGCGGATGTCGATGAGGGCCCAGAACTGAAATTCTAGTTGGTGTGCCGTGTACTACTTATATCGACATAAGTAGTACACAACGCTAGTCAGGAATAGAATGTCTAGCAGCAGAAGATCAAGAAGATCGAGAAGGAAAGAACGCGAACAAAAAGCAATTGGTATGAAAATGAAGAAACATTGAAGTCTGAGACAATTGACTGACATTTTGCAAATAAAGTATTTACCGTATGATCCTCAGATTTTACTAAGAGATTCTGTGTTTTTTTGTTGATATACATTTGATTGTCCCTAATTGTGTTCTCGTTCACTACATTTGGTGCCAACCTGGAGAGGAGAAACGTACTATTCTGCGGACACAGATCAGAGCTTGGAACTGAGATGCTAATTGATGTAATGTGTACTACTTATGTCGATACAAATAGTACGCATCATTAAGAGATTCTGTACTTTTGTATTCAAGCAAGTACATTCGATTGTCCGCTCTTACGCTCTTTTTATAACTTCTTTTTCATTTCTGTTTTCTTTTCTTTATTTTTTTCTTCTTCTTTTTCTTTTTATCTTATTTAGGCTGGTTCAAGAAGACGTTTAATGAAACGTAAAGATGCAGAATTTAATCAATATAAACAACAAATTGAAGCACAAAAACAACATCATTCTATATTAAGTGTATCATTAGAAGAATGGTTAAGTTCACCACATAATAGTATTACAGATAATTTATTAGATAAAAATGATCCTTTAATCAATAATTATTAATAATTCTGATCCAGATTATTTGGGATCATAAATCAGAATAATAATCATAATAATAAAGGTTATATCATTCACTATGTGATACATACAAATGGATATGGATATATATATAAACAGATAGGTGATAGATCCCAATCAACAATGATCTTATTTGTTGTTTATGTTCTATTTCAAAAGGATAACTTATCCATTCTGTACATCATTGAATAGTATTCAATGAAAATCAAGATGATATTCATCAACTAATGATCCATCGATCATAATTGACTAGTATCAATTATTCTAGATGATCTCTATTGTAAATATGATATACATATATATATATATATATATATATATATCTATCTCCATATAGAGATAGATATCTATATAGATTATAGATATATATATATATACAATGTATACATTGTATACATTATATTGCCCCCCCCCACATTATCGTTTGTCATTATCGGTGTTGTTCAAATCAATTATGTAATGTGATAATTAAATATTCCAAATGTTTGTTTGTTTTTGTTTTCCTTTCTTTTTGCATAATTTTCTTCTTTTTTTTCTTTCACATATTTATTTGTCGTAGGGAAATTCAAAAGTAACTAGATCAATAAATTCAATGGATATTAGTGTTTTATTTGAATGTTTCCATGGTTACTATAGACTGGTCAGTTTTCTGGTTGGTATGAGGATTACTTCGATATATCCCATCGAAGTAAAGATGAATAATGGTTAGCAGTAGAATTCATGATGCGTGCCGCTTCATGTTATTCAAGAATCTTCAGCTGAATGTGCTTACATCACATGTTTGATGTTTAGTTTGAGAATCGAATTCAGTATTATTTGCTTCAAACGTCATCACGTTATCCATTTAGTTACTGAGTCCTCATAGCCACCTGATTGTTCAATCGGGTGAAATTATATTCACTTGGTGTTGTTTACTTGAAACTTCTTATTGATCAGTCGCTTATTGGTATATGTGAATATTGTGAAGATTGCCTCGATATAGCCTTAATTTACAAGCATTATAAGCAAAAATGGATAGTGGTTAGTAGTTGTTTCATCCTGAGTGTATAACATGATCATGAAGCGAACGGTACTGGGTTCCAGTCTCAGAGTAAACATCAACTATGAGATGTAGGTACATTCAGATGATGAAACACAAATACAGAGGAACATACGTCCTGGATTCCACTGCTAGCCACTATCCATCTTTGCTTATTTAGATAAATATCTTGTTTTAATTTATGGTTAATCAGTAAATAATACCGTTAAGTTCGTTCATTGATTAACAAAGAATACGGTATACAACCACGGTACTCTAATGTATAGAACCCCCCACAGTTGCAAAGTCAGAAGAAAGCTGGAGATTAGATTATTGGGTATCAATCAAATATGTACAAAAATTCTTGGGTATTTTTAGATATTTGCTTTTGTTATATCAACATTAAAATTCAACCAATCCGCGAAGAGGCATATTACGCTACTGACCAATTGTAGAATGCCACATTGACATTCTAGAAAGCTCCATCATGTTCTGATTAGATGAAAACTCCTTAAATCTTTTAGGGCCTGTTAGATCTATCGAAGTGTCTAGTTCACCTGCATGAGATACGCGCGAAACCGAAGTTTTAAAACAACGATTTGTCTACAATAGCGGTTCTTTATTGAATAATACACAAAATTTAGGCACAAACCTCAACTTGTGAGGTGTCTGGGGCGTTTAAATGCATCCTTCAAGTATAAAATAAAGACTTCCTGTAACGGTAACATAAAGAATAATTACAACATACGATAGTACAAAGGACAGTTGATAACTGTGTCTAAATTTGATAACAGTTTACGAACAACCGAACCAAGAGCAAAACAATATGGTAACTGTTGCATTTAAACAAATGCACAAAACTAGGGATAACCACTATAGTGAATAAGGTACAGTAATTATAATGATAAATACAATGATAAGTACAATAAACGTTATAAGTTTATGTGAACATTTCAGAACATAACATTACAACTTACGTTACAACATAAGTATAAAAATTGTTGGAAATGCAACTGCTTACTGAATGTAAATAAGTAGTATAGAACACAATATACAAAGGAGTGGAAAGGGAGTGAGTAGTAACAATGTAAGACAAACTTAACAGGCCTCTTAAGGCTCCAACATAATTTTCGGAAGCCATCCCAAGAAATACTACAAACACAATGCTTTGAAGTTAGGGATTTTTGTCTGTGGTATACTACGGTTATAAGACTGAATTGGATCACCAAGTTTATAATACAATTAGTTTAGATTAATCGAAGGATTCATTATACATAGACCAGACCATATTAAATTAGATAACCGATTCACAATCAAGAATACAGTACAAGAGTAACGAAAGGCAATCAATTAATTCCATATAATTACAAGTAGTTTACACTCAGTAATTTCAGAACGAAAATCAGTAAGTGGGTTGAAGCTATCAAAAGTTCACTTAATCTACGAACGAGAAACAAGACTCGGTGACCAAAGACTAGTAAGATAGCTATTGATGCGTTCCAGCCCCGCTAACTAGAGGGAGAAGTCCGAGCTTGGAATGGGGAAGCATATTCTATAGACAGCCAGGAACGAGCGATAACAACAAACACAATTCAAAACGTATATATACAGTGCAAAACCGTCCTTGGGAAGAGTTACTAAATAGCATACTGAAAGACGCAACGAACCAATAGCATTTAAGATATTTCCCAGTGGGAAATATGACATGAAGGTGACAAGTGTCTTTGGCGCAAAAACAAAGAAATTCAAATTTTCTAAATAAAATTACAAAATTAGGTCCTTTCCCAAGTGAGCTCTGGGGATCTAACGTCCCCAACAGTAAATAAATTATATTTAGTATTAAATAAACTGTCTGTTTGTCAAAACCCAGTAACCGGTCATATTTATTTTCACTACTACAAATCAACAATCAAGTCGAAATTGTTCACTGAAGTCACAATCAACTTACGTTTACACTACTGAATCAGATTATGTTTGATGCTATTTTGCTAGTTAGAGATTCACACCTAAATTAACTAAGAATTGTGTCCAGATTATTTTTGGCTGTTTACAAATGTTGGACATAAATTAGTTATTCTGTATGAATCTATTTCTTCTCCTGAGATCAACTGTAATTTATAAGTTCTAAATACATCTGATTTTCTACATCGTCAACAAATGCTTCGGTACGGTTAAGGGTAGGGAGAGTCCACTCTCCCTCTCAAGATGCTCTCATATAGCCACGTGTACACAGCTACTGACAGAGAAGTCCCACTCATTGCCTTCTCTCATCGACGGTGTTGTTTAAGAAATTGAGAGGACTTAAAGCGAATGCCGGCGCTTTAACCGGGTTAGTGAATACAGACAGTTCACCTAGGGGAGTTGGAAAACCCTGATTCCAAACCAATGGTGCACATGGACTCTAGAATCCTGAAGGAACAAATGTCGTGTGAACCAATTGTTTGTCACCGACTACCATGGGACTGCATCTCCTTATGTTGCTCCACTGTCTTGTGGATTAGAAGTCTTAGTCAAAGACCTAAGGAATGAAATTCCAAGAAAACCATCTGATTCGGTCTGGGCGCCCGGGTAGTATCATAGCCCTCACACAAATCAAATCATTTGTGCGGCGCATTTATATTTTTGGTACCTCCTTGTATCAATATAACTTCAAGACAGTTCTACTGTACGGAGCTAAAACTTAGAGAACTACCACAAACATCATCAAAAAGGTACAAGTATTTATCAACAATTGTCTATGCAAGATACTGAATGTCCGTTGTCTGAATACCACCAGCAACAGGATGCTATGGGAGAACAAATCAGCTCCCATTTGAAGAAGAATTTGGGAAAGATAATCGAGGTGGACAGGATATACATTAAGGAAATCATCAAACTGTATCACGAGGCAAGCACCAACTTGGAATTCTGAATAGAAACGAAAAAGCGGAAGTTTAAAGAACAGACTGCGTCGGGAATGAGAAGTTAGACGTTAAAATGATGAATAGCAACTGGAGAGGATTGTTCAGGACAGGGTTGAATGCAGAACGCTAGTGGGTGACCTATGTTCTTCTACAAGCAGTAACACGTATTAGTAAGTAAGACCTAACTGAATGTGAATCAATTAGAAATTCAACTATTTTATATTGCGAAATGATCCTAATTAAACTAGTAGTATAAGACTTCTCGATAGTATATATCTACGACCCTATCAAATAGTTATACCCACTAGAACTTTCAAGTCTCATAGGGAATGTTTTACATTCACATCACTAAATTACAATTTGATATTCATTAGTCCTATTCTACTTAAATGGCATTAGCTACTGAATGATTAAGTTTACCATCAAAATGAACTTCATCCTATAATAGAAATTAATTTATTGCTAAACTAAACTTATGTAATATATATATGAGATGAAATATATGTATATATTGTAGTGGTTAACCCTATATTGAGCCCATATAGGTTATTCTAGTTTCTGAATAGACCAATTTATTCCTTCGTCATGAATGATTTACTTCCCCTCTTGCTTTGCCTTACTTCACTTTTCCTTGTTTAGCCTTTTCCATGCCTTGATTCGATTTGACTATAAATATTGAGTAATGCTTAATTAAAGACAGAAAGCTAACATTACCTTCTCCACTATGTATCATTCCGTTTTGGGGCTATTAATAAAGTAATTTAGTGGCCCTCGAATGCCTGACTCCAATTGGATTATGTGATTATCGTTATCGACTTAATTTGCGTTATTAAATAACGGAATCAAATCATTCAAATACAAGAATGAAGTATTGAATATTGTATATTTTGTAAAATTGTTGATCAGAACAGATGAGTGAAGTAAGAGAAGAGGATAGATCGAAGCAAAACAGATTAGAGAAGGCATAGTGAAGAAGTTTTGCAGCTCAAATGGATGATTTTGACGTTTGTAATGATAATGTCATTAAGAAGAACAATGAAAGCTCCACGACCAAACCATCTAGTTTAAAGAAGGCATGTTAACTAACTCTCTTTAATTAAGCGTTGCTCAATATTTATATTTGAATCGAATCGATGTAAGGCAAAGATTAAACGAGGAGAAGTGAAGTAAGGCAAAACAAGGAGAAGCAAATCATTACCAAAGTCAAAATATGATTCAAGAAGAAGGAATAGATTGGTCTATCCAGAAACTAGAATCACTTATATGGGTTTAACATAGGACTAACCACTATGTTCCTTTAAAATTCTGGGGAAAAAAAACTATTGATATGAATGTATTTTATATAAATAAACAAACAAACAATCAATCAATATCACTAATCAATAATGAGAATAACGTGTAGTGTTATGATGATAACCTCTTTGAGATGTTGGTAATGAATGTCTAAGAGGAGAAGGTGATGATGTCTCATGATGCTTATAATCATTATTATCACGTTGAATAATTGTATTTCGTCTATCATAAGGATTCTCAGATAATATACTAAGATCTTCTACATCTTCATTTCCACCTAACGGTGAATAAGATTTCATATTAGATGATGATGGTGATGATGATGAATAATTTGATGGTTGTATTATACCATGTTTGTTATATTTTGTTGTTGGATGATTTACATATAATGGTGTTTCTTGACTATGTTGTTCACTTTCAATGAATGAAATTGTTTGTGAATTAGATTCATTATGAAGTTGATTATTGAATGGAATGGATTGTTTTTCTATTCCTTTATAATGATATGGATTATTAGATATCATTCCAATACTAGGTGAAAATAAACTCATACTTTCATGTCCTGTATCCATAGGTCGCAAGTCTGAATCTAATGCAATCACCTAATAAAATAAAAACAATAAGAAACTGTTCAATCAACAAAGATTAATTTCAAATAAGATGTTGGTTGATAGTCACTTACGCCTGTTACTCCTCGTGAAGGAGCATAAGCCACTCACCAGTATTCTCCATCCAACCCTCGCCTAGGCAATCTTTTCCAGCTCCTTCCAGTTCCCATTCATCCTTTTCATATCTGCTTCTATTTCCCGACGTAATGTGTTCTTTGGCCTTCCTCTTTTCCGCTTCCCTTCAGGATTCCAAGTCAGGGCATGCCTTGTGATGCAGTTTGGTCATTTGCGTAATGTATGTCCTATCCATTTCCATCGTCTTTTCCTAACTTCTTCTTCAGCTAGAAGCTGGTTTGGTCTCTTTCACAGTAGGCTGTTGCTGATAGTATCCGGCCAATGGATGTTGAGTATCTTGCGTAGACAACCATTTATAAATACCTGCACCTTCTTGATGATGGTTGTTGTAGTTCTTCAAGTTTCAGCTCCGTACAGTAGAACTGCCTTGAAGTTCTTATTGAAGATTCTCACTTTGATATTGATTGAAAGTTGTTTTGAGTTCCATATGTTCTTCAACTGTAGGAATGTGGCCCTTGCTTTGCCAATCAATCTTTGTTAATTGGTTGATGGTAGTTAACAGGAAAACCCTGGATCTAGGTTTCATACTATTTGGCACTCGCTAACAAAGTGTACGTGTAATCTTGGAAAAACTGGTGCCCATTGACAGATTTGATCTTGTGTCACACAGTTTCACAGTCAAAGGTGTTATCACATGACATGGATTACCAATCAGTGATCAATCAATTGTGATTAATTTCAAAGTTGTATGTATCAATAATACCCTATAAAGTATAATCTATGTATAATATTTGTATTATAAATGATGCAAATGTTTTAATTTGTGAACTTTGGTATTATTAATCAATAAATAATGAAATATCCTCGTCACACATTCAGTGGAGCAATGACTTATAGGTTTAAGAGTTTGACTTTCAACTGCTATGTCACAGATTCATGTTCCAATCTATCTGATTTGCATTTGGCCAACAGTCGGATAGTATCATTAGTTCTCACATACGTACAATGTATGTTAAAGACAAATAAGTGAATCTGGACTTGGTATGTTGCACCCTAGTCAATAGTTTACCACAAAACATCATGAACAGAAATACCTTGGTGACCGAGACCGAAAACCCTCGGTTCGAATCCCGCAAGCAGGATCGTGGATGCGCACTGCTAAAGAGTCCCACAATGTGACGAAACAGCCGTCCAGTGCTTCCAGGTTTCCAAAGGTGGTCTAACATCAATCGGTCCTTGGTTTCAATCAAAAAATTTTAAAAAAATAACTGAAATACGTCCTCTTAGTTTTCTAAAAACAAGATGGTATATCCGTAAATTCAAGAAAATGTCATAAATTTGTAGTTGGATCCATGAGTTAATTGAAGCTACACCACCATGGAAAACCTGGAAGCACTGAACAACAGTTTCATCCTAGTATGGGACTCTTCAGCAGTGAGCAATCACGATCCCACCTGGCGAGATTCGAACTCAGGACCTATCAGTCTCGCGCAAGAACGCTTAACCACTAGACCAATGAGCCGGCATCCAACAGTGTTAATGTCCAACTCCAACCAATCCACGAAACTGAGCGACACATCCATCATTGTCATCAGTGAGTTACTATCTCACTACAGACACGGTTGAACTATACTGGTCACTGCTTCCCACTAGAATTTCAGGAAATACCTCTTGAAGCCAGACACTAGTGAGCATACGATGATAATTATTGGAAGGTGTTTTTGTACATATTATATTAATTTCATAGTTGAATTCATGAGTCGATTGAAGCTAAGCCTCCATGGAAAAACTGGAAGCACTGAAATGCCGTTTCGTCTTAGTATGGAACTCCTCAGCAGTGAGCATACTATCATAATTGCCTACTACCTTCTAGATTGATCATCAGAAAAATGTAATAGAATTTCGATTTACAGTAGGACTAATTACCATTAAAGTAACTACTGTAAATTTGGTGTTCATCTTGTTATGCTAATGACATGTGACAACTTGGATCGTTACATATATGTGCCTGATCCTACGTTGTAACTAACTGACTGAAATTATTTATGCAGTTAATAACTGAATTCTCCTTTTTGAATTACTCATTGAAAGGTCAGCTAAGACTAAAATCTTATTGAATTAAGTTTATTGGTGATTTTTTATATAGGTTTACAATGATATTAAATTATTCATCTCTTATAAACATCATATACATAGTATAATCCACAATATAACCTGCGATAGTATCGAAATAGCTTTATAAGGACTAGTGAATGCTGTATTCCCGAAAGTTGTGGCTATCTTGACGTGGTGACCGGAATCGCCTATCGTGATGAAGCAACCGAGCTATACTGGCTGGAACAATCGTTCCTCAATTTCCTACCATTTCAGGCAGGTCGGTTAAAGAGCGGTAAGACTAAAAGCAACAAACCCAAGGTCCGAAGGCGAAGTCGTACTGCTGACTGTACAGAAGTGTGACAGCAGTAAGGTGTTTCATTCAGACAACCAGCATGACAGCGATGCTGCCTTCGCACAAGGAGGGGTGGGGTCAAATATGGTTGACCATAAAAATGCAGACCTCACCTTATACCACGGATATCCGTCTCCGGCGGTAAGGTCTCAACAAATAAGGAGCTAACACAAAAATTACTCATAAAAAGGTCTTATATGGTCGACCTCAAGCTGATGTCTCTTGAGCACTGCGGTCACGCTCTCAGGTCACTAAGACCACCTCTAATCCAATTTTCATTTCAGGTACCCCCAGAAGAACCTTTCCACGGTTTGGGCAACCGGGAAGTGATAACCGCCTTCATACGTCTAACAGCATTCAAGACCACTGAATGCTGTATTGAAAATACACATAGATAACTAAATATCAAAATGTGAATATGACAACCAAAAACATAGAGGTAACTATAATAACTAAGTAAATTAAGGTATAAGTTATTGTGATTGAAGTAATTGTTATCTATGAAGTATTGGAAATTACTGTTATATTGGGAATAATATGTCCGGAGCCAATGAATCTATAAATGTGAAAAAGGGAATATCAATAGGTTTTCTGAAATTTTTCTCGTATTTAAACCGATTGTTTATCACTAATGCATCTCTTGAAAGTTGCTCGAAACAACAAACTATCAAGTATACACACTGCTTTCTAATAGATGGTATCGTTTTATGCTGAGAATTGTCTGTATGGTTCTCTATAATCTAACATTATATATATATATATATATAAACGAAATATATTCATTACAAACATACTTGTTCAGGACGAGCTCCAGTTGATGGAACTTTAACTACAACACCGCCTGCACCCCCAATACCACTTAATCCTCCACTATATAAACCACCACTGCCTATTCGACCGGAAAGAACACTTGGCATACCATAATTTGTTTCAACAGCTTCGAATTTTTCAACTTCTTCCTTTAAGAAAAAAAATTGGAAATGAAAGATTGTCATGTAGAATTTATTGTTATAAATGAACGTTTAACAAATTTCTTACTATAAATAAGTAAACCAGCCATAATGATCTTAAATGAATATGGAAAAGGTTGTTTAATGCTACATAATTATCATGATTGACTTCAATTTTTGATATTAACGGCAAACTAATTAGGTATAAGATAACATAACATAATTCGAATTCCTCACACTGGTTTATAACTGTTATAACTCTGTCTTTTCTTACAGGTTATGACCCAGCTATTCCTATTGCTTAGTATTCTCGGACACCGATTCACTCGACAAGTCCCCAAATCAGAACACGGTTGAACAGGAAAAAGATTATATTCCAAATAGCAAGTCAGAAGCACAATAGGGGAAAACGTCTGTATATTTATAGTTTTTACATAAGAAGATTCCAGAGTATTCTCCGACTATCGACTAGTGCTGATTGGATAAGAATCAGCCAATCAGCGTGCACCAAAACAATCATGCATTGAGCATGCTTTAATCTAGTCTATGTCCCGCTAACAATAACATTCATTTGGTCCGAGTTATTAGATGGACATTCTCAAGGTTACTTTAACGTCGCTCAAAGGTTGTCTATAAATTATAGTCTCACCATGATAATTACAGTATATGATTAGTTAGCTTTCAATATACGTTATAACTTCATCAACTTATATCTAATTGAATTCTTATGGGGTTAAATTAAGTTGGGTCATATGCCATCTCCGATTTGTTTTGCATCGTTTTCCTGATTGTTTGTTCACATCAACGTTTTTAAAATTCATTCTCATGTTTGACTTATTTAATTCCGTTATTCATTAACACGAGTTAAATCGATAATTATATACGAGGGCAACTAGGATTTATATTTCGATAACTAGATAACTATCAGCAAACGATCAAATTGCAGTTAGATAACGGGCCAACAAAAGTGATGAGCCCGATGTGATAGTGCAGCTTGTCACGTCGGGCTCATCATTTCAGTTAGCGCACTTGCCTCCTCCACTGCACATCATTTTGTTTCTCTTCGCTTTTTTCGCTTTGTTTCTCTGACCGTCTATTTGAACCAACGATTGTATGAAATATACACATTCGAAATCCATTCTCGTAGTTGACTTATTTTTATTCCGTTATTCATTAACGTAAGTTAATTCGATGATTATATGCAAGGATTGGCGGCATGTATGTTTCGATAGCAACCATCATATGATATAACTGGAGACAGATATCATGCCACTAAGAGACTCTCTGTAATTTTAGATATAATTAAGTGGATCAAAAAACATTACAGTTGAATATTAAAGTATTTAAAGGTTTGTACGAACTCAAATGTATAACTGTATCATGTATTCGTTTTAATAAGTAGACAGATGGTTATTTCATATCCGGTATACTATTCATGGATTGTTCAATAAAGTTGGTGAACTAAGCTACTGCGAATCTTGGTGAAATTAGCGAAGAACTTTCAAAAAATTTATGGGATTCTGATGTTCATACATGAAAATAATACACTCAACAAAACGACTCATTTCAAATGGACAAGGTGTTTTAGTAGAGACTACGAAGAATAGAAAGGTGATGCAAAAGGAAGATCTCTGACTTATTGAGTTGATAAAAATATCAGATGTATGTCATCTCTTGCAATTTACGATGACGAACACACTGTCCGAGTGATTGTTGATAAACTAAATATGATAAACTCGTTTATCTATGCGATTCCGGAAAAAAATTAAAACAAGGCAGCAACTGGACTTCTAATGACTTAACAATAAAAACCTTTATGAAACAAGCTTCACATTTGCGCGCAAGACTGAAGACCCTGAGTCCAAATTCCGCAAGTGAGATCGTGGATGCGCACTGCCAAGGAGTCCCACAATAGGACGAAACGGCTGTCCAGTGCTTCCAGGTTTTCAACGGTGGTCTAACATTAATCAGTTCATGATCTCAATCGAAAACTTAATAATCTCCACAACCCTACACTGAAAATGGAGAATAGTTTGTAAGAGATAAGAATGAGATACCTTATGTTTTATAGAATATGGTCTTTAATAAATACACATGAAAATCATTTCCATATTGATTCTAACTACACAATCACTTACTTGAGCTGCTCGATCTGTATAACTTATACAATACAAGAAACCAGATGAAATAAACGAACAAATAGCTGCTAATATAATAAAACCAAATGACCATGATAGAAAATATTGATCAGGTCTTGGCATCCATATTCTACTCTGTGAGCTAATACCAAATACTAAAATACATATTGTCAAAAGAATCCCTATAAATATCTGAATCATTTAAAAAGAAAGCATGAAAAAATATGATATTAACTTTTTGAAAAACATAAAACAAGCAATCACTATAGTATATTTTAAAGTAAAGAAATTTCATTAGGTTACAATATGAAAACAACTTTATACAATTATGCTGTTTCACATTACTAAGTCAGTCAGTAACAACGTAGAACTTCGTACATACGTACATCAGTTCGAGTTGCCACACCACATTAGAACAGAGATGCAGTTGTCCATTCAAATCCCGTAGTGGTAGAGGTAGTAAGAGTATAAACAGTAATCGGAAACATTTACGTTTAAAGATGTTATTTAAAGAGTATAATCCAGTGAAATAAATTTGGAAAGAGAAAAAAAAGAGACAAGGAGGATTCAGGAGATTGGAATGCGGGAGAACACAAAGAGTGGATGCACCTAAACAATAGGTAAACTTTCCTTTAATCATTTTGATAAATATCACAAGCTGGAAACTTCACATTGACATCATGAATCATGATACAATTTTATTTAAACCCTTAATAAAACGAAATCATATCTGAATTTTTCGTACACACAGAGGATAGGTTATTTTCAAGGGAACTGATATTGTTGCTTGGTGTAATAATACAAACTTGAAGCTATAGGTGAAGTTTGTTAATTAACGTCAATTTACAAAAGATCAAAAAACTCGGTAGTAAGGATGAAAAATCGCTAGTCTGTTTCCAACTGATTCATTTTAGTATCGTAATCATTACGTATGTAATTGTAGTATAAACTACTACGGAACAAAAGCATTAATAATGTAGAAGGCCTTAGTCTACTGATACTAAGCAAGGAAGTTTTTATTCTTGTGAATCTTCTTGTAAAAATCAACCAATAATTTTGATGAAAGGGCTATTCCTTTAGATACTGTCTGGTAACCCTCGATTGGGTGTCGGATCTGAAAAGTTCTCAAAGGTTTATCACTTACGGGGTAATAAATGTTATATGAACCTGAATATGAAACCTACTGTCCGGTACAAAACCTAGGATGAATTTTAGTCTTCGGTATTTAATGATGATCGAACACGAATTCATGGTATCTTAAGACGTGTCATCTATTCCCATACTAGAAACAGTGAAATTTGTGTCAGGCAAACCCGCTGAAAAAAAGCAAGGAAACTAAAATTTATGTTATCATACTGAAGTAGTTAATCCACAGGTCAACAATGAACGTAATTTTTTTGTTTAATAACCATTTTTAAGTAAAATCGGATATGGCTTACACGGGGTTACCAATTATCTCCATCCTCACATACGTTTTTTTCCGAAAAAACTAAAAAATGGCAAATTAACAAATGAACTCAACTCGCTAGGATTTTATTACAACTACATAAACGACACCTTCATAGTACTTATGAATAACATAGATACAATTATTCTAATTGATTTAACAGCTTTTATCAATCTTTGACTACTTTAACGGGAGAACGTAGTGATAGTTCTTCATTTTTAGATATTTTGTCGGCAAAAATGAATAAATTGACGTCAAAAAGACGTAATGGTAGTAAATCGACATTGATTGGTTATTACACTCATATGTAAAGCTCTATATCTCTCAGGTACACGAGGAACCTGGTGAACAGCTTAACACATCATGCCATACTTATTTCCATCGATGATAAGTCTAAAACAAATTTAAACACTCAGACTAGAAATATGTCCATAAAAATTTATCAACAAGCATATGATCAGCTTAGGATAAAGTTAGAGACAATGACAGTTCCTAAGAAACCCATATATTTGAAAACATGACTCTTCAACGACAGTCAGCGAATAACTAACAAAACGGGTAAGAATGACTCTGCAAGATACAAGCGCCATAGCTAAGCCATATGCCCTGTTATAAAACTATCTGTTCATTAGAACCGGACATAAGAACGAACTCCTGAAACTAGCTTTATCTATGTACATTAGTGGATTTAACTTCTATTAGGAGCCAGTTACGATGAGCGAAATTTGGACAAATCTGTAACCACTTTCTCAAACACCATAATGTTTGATTGAGTAATAGACAGTTCACGTTGATAAAAAACTTTATACTAGCTAATCTGATTGATACGAGACACCGTGAGGACGTAAACAATACATTCCTCATCATCCACCAGATCCTATAAAGTAAACCGTACAGTTTACGTATACTCCATTTAAATACAGCTTAAGCCATCAACATTTATCTTAATGAACTAGACCTTTGTGTCTGAAGGATTCAACCGTTGTCCTGGCTTAGGCCATCGGAATAGCTGGCAATAAAATGAGTAGCTAATGACTTATCACACCCAATGTTAAACCGTTTTCTTTTGATCGAAATGTTTGTTTTCTTTCTACTGTTGAGTACCAGTAACATTTTTTTCTTTATGCTTATGTAACTGTGAATAACATTCGACTTATTGCCAAACGTTTGACAATCTTCTCATACCGTACTATATAATCTGTAACCACATACTCTAATTCATTCATTCACTAGCCAATGACTTCAAAATGATAGATCACAAGCATTATTAAGAATAAAAAATATTGAAAGCTCGGTTTAAATGATGATTTAACCGTTCGTTTGTCGATTATATTTTCTTCTACAACAGGTTGCCTTTGGGGAAAGAAAGCTTAGGACGACATAATGTAATAAATTCAGTAATCGCACCTACTTTAGTCCCATACAAAACCAAGAGTCATTAGTTTCTAGAACAAACATTTTGAAGCAGAAATATTCGCAAAAATGCATGCAAACCATCTGTTCAACTACTTCGAAGAAAGAAAAGTGGCCCTCGCATTAATATGTTTTGTTATGGAAAGGACAACTTAATTACCGGGTAAAATAACATTGAACCCGATATATCATTCTTTTCTAACGAACATTCAAGTATGTCGTCGTACATTGGTAAATTAATTTACATGCATCTTAATAAACGTGTGACGATCCAAGATTTTACTGAGTGTTCATAATAGTGTTCTTAATAATATAAAATCCTATTTCAACTTATAATTAATTGATAACATTAAGTTGAGAGCTACGCCTACAGCCACGAAAATTCCATTCTTGTTGATTTGAAAATAGTGAGCTTTTTTCATATATTTTTATGTCAACAAACCTCTTCACAGAAGCCTATCGCAGAATTTATGTGGTAACTAAATTGACTGTGCTAAAAACTTGATCCTTCTACAGAGTAGTTCCGGAACTCATTATGGCAAAACATTAACCCCTAGCCGAGATAAGGTAGTAAATGATATAAAAAGAATTTAATTATGCGAATAAAGTAATGGTGATTACTGATCGCTAATCTAAGTGATTTTACTCACCTCACCAACAAGAGCCATAGTTGATTCAGCAGCTGGATGACCAAACAACAAGTGGTACAAGACCAGGATTAAAATGACGCAACATTTTGCCGTAAATGCTATAGTTATTAAAACTTGGACACCAATCAACCAGTATGGATTTAGCCACTGCCATATGCCAATCTTGAAGAAAAAACGATCATATACCCAAAAGCACCCGGTCAACACATTAGCGTGGTAATCCTAAACTCTGATAAATCGGACTTATTATTAAGAATAGTACTTGTGGATGCACAAATTTGTCAAAACATACAGACCATATCCCCATGTGGAGAAAAGAACTATGTACACGATCATACGACTGCAACCAATAAGGACTGGAAAACGACAAGAAAAAGAACAGGAACCCTAAAGCAGCTGATATGCAAGCTGCATAGAAAGGCATATACATCTGAGTCAACTTGTAATCCTTCTTCATTTCCTCTGCAAGATTTATAATTCCGGACAACCCAGAAGGTAAACAATCATAGGTAATTAAAACAATATTTAGAACACAATTTTCAGTCTCGAATAAGAGGATAACAGAGAATTTTACCACCTATATTTACCAATCCTCTGACTAATCAGTGATAGTGTATTGACTTCTTTTCACTCGCTTACTGACATTAAGTAGAGACTTCACTTTTTTGCATATTTCCAATGGGGTTAATCGAACCTCTTGGCTGCAAATATCTTGTTAATCAGGTGAAAAGTCTGAAGATAGCAACCATTTTTCATCAAAGAGATATTTGGTTGGCTCAGTTCAGCCAGCTCAAAATCATTTGAAATGTTCGAGATTTGTTAAGTAACGAGATGAATTGAAACGATAGTATAACTGTTTGCTTGATTTTGGGTTTCTTCTCAGTAATCTGAAAATGCGTCATTTAAAGGAGCTGCAAATTTTTTGGCATGTTATCGTTCCAGATGTCTTTGGATGTCTGTTTTTCATGACTTAAGCCACCATATTTTGATTGTCACGTAGTGAACTGATTACCTTTGTTCTGTGGTTTATTTTAAAGTTCATCCCCTACTTGTTCCAGGGGCTTTTGATATTCACATTTGTTGATTCTTCGACGTTGGGGGAAGTTGAATTTATCTGTCACTTTCCTTTGGGTAGGATTGTAGTAGCCTGGCTTTGAGGTAATTCCTTAAATTTAGTATGTCAATCACTCGGAAAACCGTTACTAAAAATATCTCAATGGTGTATGAATGCAGAAGACAGCCGAATCGCCGACGACAGTTTATCATCGTACAGCGCAGATACAAATATACAAGCACATCAGTATTTGAGCAGGAAAGCTGATACGCCCAAGCAAGCGAATACTGAGGCGGACTTAGGGTTAAATCAGTTAGGAAAATTCAGGAAGTGTATGATTCATCGAGTGATCTTCGAGCAACAAACATCTAAGCTGGGGAGGAGGATTTACGAGTGGGTTGTCACATATGATGAAGCATACATATTCATACAGACATGGTGGTAATAATTGTAGGGCCATTGAAGTGTCGCTGGGTCCTAACTAAATCATCTAGCAGTCGGGTCACTGAACTTCAAACAGTTTGTTGATCCTCATCTAGTTCAAGGACAATCAACGCGGATCAGTCAGTTGAACGTCATGGACTTATCAATGAGGAGGTGGTCTGACACTTTCTTGTTCCTACTCTTACGAATATAATATTGCAATAATGTCGTTTGTGTTCTACAGTCACCAACGCAACCATAACACCTGGATACGATGAAAGGGTAATTCACTTCAGGTACTAAACGGGAGGTGTGATTTCGACGTAAGTTATCCCTCACTCATCCGAAAGATCATCTACGTTAGTGATCTACATGATAATAGCACGAAGACAGGCAGGTTGTTAATGTTAACTGAAGGCCATGACGAAACCAACGTAATTATAGGAGGAGTGTTCTTGACTGACAGAACTATCATTCCATCGGTGGTAATTGAGTCTTACCAACTGCATGTCACTGTTGAAAAAGTGCTGTCTGATGCCACTTTGAACGTCTGTGACATTTTTAATGAATTTAACAGTTTTTAACGTCTTTTAAAAATTTTAATCATAAGTACAACAACTGTTTAGACATGCTGAAACAGTTAAGTTGTGGATTTAGCAGTGATTGTGATACCTCCGCAAGTTCATTCATTACTCGGGCTGTTTCGTTTTAACGGAGCAAAGCTTGCAATTTTAAATGATAAATGCATAACCATCAACCCTATTTACTGACAAACTGCTAATACTCAACACATCTGTTATAAAGCAATCAATGTAAACAAAGATAGAATGCTGTATTCATGATGGGCGAACGGTTACAAAGTAGAAGCTGCTTTAATTGCTGGAGAATAAAGATAGTGAGTTTCCCATCTGTAAACAAGACGGCCACTAGATATGTTATCCCAACTATTGTCGGAATTATCCCGGATTAGTGCCAAATATTAGTGTTTCCAGATAAGTTATTCAGCTTAAACATCACATGTACATCATGTGTAATACACTTTTCTGTCAAACCGAAGTATACGAATTTGTAAGCTTTCACCTAAAAAATTGATAAGAACACTTTAAACTTATATTTTGTTCAAGCTGCCTCAAAAGTTTGTGAAATAAGAATAAAAATGTCTCCCTAAACTAGTGGGGTCTTTAGAGAATTGTCACCAACGAAGTTGAACCAATTAAATGCCTCAGAAGACTGATTACTGAGTGCCGAATAGTCTGCCTCACATAGACAGGGTCGCAAATGACTAACGCTGACGGATCATTCAGTGGGATGTCTGCTACAGTTGCGGTAGAGTAACTATCCAGTAAACCGCCTCAGTGGTAAGATTCCGTCATTTCTTTGAGTGAATTAAAGAAGTATCCTAGGCTGACCACTAGATTAAACTCGGTGACGCGGCTAATGCACTCGCGGCCAATGTTTGAGAATAGGAAACAACCCAACTGACCTTACGTCTGACTGCCGGGACATAAGTGAACCAACAAAAGTTAAGAATGACAATCATAAGCTCTAACCACTTGCTAACGATAGTAGGAACGATGTCTTGATAATAATGACAATAATGACTGGTACACTAAACTCTACTTGATATTCTTTCCAAAGATTTACAACAAACACCAACTCCGTAAATATTTATCACAGTGATCGAGATGACTATATTTGACTTGGGAATATGAACAAACAAAACCAGCGGTGGAATGAAAATTAATATCAAGATACTTAACAAAAGGAAAAGTAGAGAAAAGGTGTATGTGTTTCCAATAGAATTTTCATCGTGCTTCCACACCAATATGCAAATTATTTACAATAGTATACTGATACTGACTGATTCATACTGCCATATTTTAACGTCACAAAAGACTGGGAATAAATGTGAATGATCAGCTACGTGGTGAAAAGTGTATGTGGTAATTGCAATGGGAATTCGCCATGTTTTTCACTACTTTTTATCATTATTTTCAATCTTTCAGAAGTTTTTTTGCAAGTGAACTTTTGTCAACGACATCGAAAGAGGATAGCTATTGGTATTTCACAAGCAACCTATATGTATGTATATATATACATATATATTCTCCGATACTCTGCGCCAAGCTTTCAAAAATTTTGTAATTTCAGAGACACCATTTGTACTAGATGCTATCTAGATTTAAAATAATGTACTTGTACGTATAAAGTTCTTGTCGTGCAGCGCAAAGTAGAACAAGTCAGTTTAAGAATCTTCCTGTAAGTCAACAATTTTGACGGTCATCGTCAACAGCCAGTTTCTTCTGTTTACAAAGCAGTGCTATAGTTTCATTTAGGTTGAGTCGGATTGAGACCTCATGGTCAACATTCAGTTTTGACTATTTTTTTCATGATAACCAGCTGAATCGATTCCTTTAGTGGCTGGCTGGAACAAAAATGATCTTACGCAAGGAATGTATTACAGGAAAAGACCGTAGAAGTTTTCTGTCAAGGCTCTTTGCATTGTGTCATTCAACGATGCACCAATATTATCTCGTGTGTGTCAACCTTGACGTTGGCTCAACACTCAGTGATGTCTCGTCTAATCTAGTAACATTTCCGTTTGACAGGTGACCTTGTAGGGTCTCAATGACAGTTTACAGACCCTGAAGTCTACGCGACACCAAATGTTGCGTGAGGTACTTCAGATGCCAGTTTTGTTACCTGTGCTGTACTTTTTATACGTTCAATCATATTCAGTAGAAAAATGATTGACACCAGTATTTTGTCCATACTTCTTGGTTGAAAACGGATAATTTAATAGTTTTATGAGGTCTTAATTATGAAACAACACTTCTTGTTTTGTATTTTTGGAGATGAACGGACAATCGGAAAACGTGTTTAAATCGATCAACAAAGATAGTGAGGTGATTATTGCCTATAAGTGCTTGGTTTGAGCAGCTTTCATGTCACCGTCATACGCATCAGGTACGAGCATTTACATTGTTAAATGTGAGCGTCAATCTTAATATTGACTGTTTTGGTTCACTACAAGTTGTACAAGATACTTTTTTGTCGAAGTGAAGACACTTTGACAAACATGATTTTGTACATTATCTAAAATTTCAGCATTTAGATCGAATAAGTTTATATTCTATTTTGCGAAGACTTAAAATGAGCTTTCAAACTGCAGCTACAGTTTTTGTGTGATAAATTTTTTATCGTAACGCACAAAATGTATGTTGATTTGAGTATCACTGAACTTTTCCCTCGTGTTTTACATCATTCTTTGACAAAGCAGCTCACGTAAATATAGGGTTTGAGTAAATTAAAAATGTTGATTCATATTTAGACATGTGTATGTTTGTATTTCTATTTATCCCGGATGAACAATTCATTCAAAATCAACATATGAATGTCATAGCTCTTATTAATACACAACATGTAAAAATTATCTGAGTAAATCTCAGACATTCGAATAACAAGCATGATTAAACTGTCTGGATGTGTCGTCATAATAAACAAGTGTTTCTCGTAACCTCTATACGTAGAGGATGAAATAAGTCCATGAGGTACTATAATTCAGTAAAATTTGTATTATTCGTTTAATTATCAAGTGATTATTTTGAATATTACCGAAGGTGTCGTCTACTAAAGGCTTAAAAATGTCGAATCGATTGACTGAGTGCCATTTGTCGACTAATGCTCACAGATTTATGTGAAAACTAGAATCCTTAATCGTATGACTTAGTAAGCTTCAAAATATTGTATAGGTCATATATTTCGTTGTTGAAAACTTAACAGATGATAACAAAACAGATAATCTCGACACTTATTAAAACCTTAATTGGTTATCCTCTAATAGGACACCTTAATTAAGTAAACTTGACATGTGTACTTGATAAGTAGTTTATTTTTCAGAAACGTAATCTAGTTCGTGTTCAGATCTTTCTGCATTCCATAGAAAACGTTTTCTATAAGGATTAACAATGACTCAAGACTTTTCAAGAGAAGTATTAAAAGCATGTTCCTTATAC